GTCTACCAGTAAAGCAGTCACAAAAGCCCACCCCTCTCTAAACTATTTCAGATTTCTCTTACCCAAAAAAGTAACCTACCTTCTCTTGAAATGCTAGAGAAAGCAACTTCCCGGTCTCAACTTCATAGGAGTTTGTTAAAGAGATGAAAAATTAGGAAGGTTCAAGTAAGTCAGATGCAGAAAACAGTATAAAGAGAGGGAAAAACTCAGAAGCTAGCTCACTGTCAAAGCCACCATCAGGCAACTATTTACAGCAGTATTTACACTACTGTGAGTACACCTCTGCCCGATCACGTCCCAGACTGATGGCATTTTGTGCTGGTAATTAAAACAAATCAAGCAGCTCTGTGATTGTTTTGGCGTCCGTGGACAATCGTACACAAAATCAGCATTTAATCACTAGGGTATGTCTTTGGTGTGCAACGTGAGGGGTGACAAAGGTTCAAGACTGAGCCAGCATGCTTACCATAATCTTTCTAAAGTAAGTGCTTTTTTTTTTTTTTTTTTTTTTGGTTTAAAAAGCAGCAGTTTGAGTCTCTCAAGTCTTCAGTTAGCTTCCATATCTGTGACAAATATACTTCTTGCTTCCCTTATTAGGACTAGCTTGCTATTATACATTGTACTTTTGGTAAAGCTCCAGTGCTCTGCAATTTTACAGCCAGAGGAAGTATTTCACACACACACACAAAAAAAAAAAAGCAAACTAAAGACAAGCATTTCACAGCCACAACATCAGATAAGCCAGAGCGAAATAATCTTCAATTCACATCAAAACCACTTCACAATGACAATTTGTCCAAGCAGATGTTAATCAAGCCTCAGCCTTAGAACACTAGATACCATCAATTACTAACCTTAATTGAAATCACAGTGCTCCAGTCTCTCTGCCAGCATATTCAGAGGATGAAGTATTAAGATATTTACAGTAAAGTAAACAATGCATAGTTGCAATGAAATGGAAAATTTTCAGCTAATGGTGTTTGTCAATCCTTTGTCAATTTTTCTGCCTGCCACAGATGTTTTCTTAGCTGCTTCACAAAAACAGGAATCAACTAGCAGAGAAGAAAGACTTTCTCTCCCCCAGGAAAAGAGTACAAAGCCAAGCCTGTACACAGCAGATGCAAAAGAAAGTCCATCTGCTACCAGCTCACAACACCACATGGAGTTTTAAGATTTTATACTGTAGGTAGCTAGCAGTGTTTGTGTAGACACCATCAGCATAATAGGAGGGGAAATGGTTACCTCAAGTAAAACTACAGCTACTCAGTCTCAGTAACTGACTTACTAGAATGAGTAAATCAAAGATTTGTTTGCAATCTCCCCCCTCCCCCTCCCCCCATATTGCAAGAACTGGCTAGTTTTCTAGCAGTTACACCCTAGGCAAGCATGACACTGAGTTTTATGACCTCTAACTCAGGAGAAAGACTACTTGGAACTCACAGATTTAAGCAGAATATTACTGGCATGAGTGGACAGGTTTTAATAGCACACTACCTACAACTTATGTGAGGCACAACATCAGTGTGGCTGAACAATGCATTTCAGAAAGATCTTTAACCAGACACTATTCCTGCCCCTGACTTACAGTATGCTTTAGTAGTTTCTTTAGATTAATAACATGTGCCTCTACTTTTGTAGCACATTTAAATACTAAACAGAGGAGGAGAAGATGTATAAAGAAGTACTTAAAATAACTGCTTCTAATAGCCTTTAACACAGACATTTTGGGTAAGTAATTACAGCAAATTTCACATTTCACCTTCAACCCCTGAGGCTACACTTTTTCTCCACCTCCTCTGAAATGAACTGAAAGCACTTATTCTTTAGCACTGCGATAGAGAACAGTTTAATATTCTCTGTTAGCTATTTTTCTTCACTTTGTACTAAAATAATTTACTCATTAAACAACACGTCTATAGTATTTTTCAATGTAAAACTGAAGTCCAGAAAGACATCTCTGAAGAAAAAAAATCAATAATGCTCAGCACACACACATACATACACTCACCCACACACACGCACATGTTTTCACGAGAATGAACAAGGCAAGTAAAAAACCTACAATCACATGACAGTCACGCAGACAACTATTAGTTTGGCTTCACCAACCATTTTTAAGTACATATTTGTTGTTGATTATTGGGGATTTTCTTTCTTTTTCGAAGATTTTTCCCCCAATCTGCTTTGTTCATATTTTTATTCTTTGCCCAATTGTCCAAAATTTTATAGTGCTTACACATTTCAAAGCAACTGTGAATAAAGCATACAATGACACAAATGACTTTATAAACTCCAGAGGAAATAAATGATAGTTTCCGTTATCACGTCAGTCAGATAACATTTTCACACAAATCTGTTTACATTCTCTAGAATAACATAATGTGCTCTTCAGCAATACTGTCATATCAGCCTGTAAAACGGTGTAATAATAATTAACAAAACATTTAAAAGCCTATACATTCATTTGTACCCACAAAAGTTTATAAAAAAATTTGATATCTCTGACATTCAAAAGCAGTTATAAATATGTAAATTAATTTTTTTAAGTAAAATATTTGCATCTCCTTTCCTCCTCCAGGCTTTTGAACTTCTGAGGTCAACAAGGACAAACAATACCACTAGTGTCTCTTTGCAAAAAGCTGGGTTTGCTGTCTGCAAGCAATGGTATCATTTCCATAGCAACCCCCTAACTATTAATTTTCAATTAAAGCAGACACAAAGCGGACAGCCTGAGGCTGGCAGACAGTGTCAAGAGCCCATCTCTGTAGGCAACAGTTTCACACAGCTATCAAGCAATAGGTGCCTCTTCCACAAAGCTCTATCAGAGGTACGTCAAGTTTGGCTGGTTAAAATGACGTTAGCCGTCAGTTCAGGCCGAGATATTTTATACCAGACTTCACCAAGGATTTATAATGACAATAAAATACTGACCAAAGCCTGAAAAAGAAATTAACTAACAACTTCACCTGGCACACAAAATAAAAGAAAAACATTACAGAAATATATTTAATGGGAAAGTACGTTAATGGTTAAAACACTTTGTCTGAAGAACGCACCATAATCTTCAATATTGGCAATGTTGCTTTTTCACTATTTCCTAATAATTTTTCTAGAGTAACACAAGAAATGGTTCAATAAGTAAATTATAATTACCTAGATCAAAATAACCTTTTTGTAAGACATTTATATTTCCCCTAAATACAGTGGTGATGAGAGCTGTAGTAAAATAAACAAAAAGATTTTAGCAACATGGCATTGTGTAAATTATCTCTCCTCCTTCAGACTGTATTCCCTCCCTCATATTTAACAGTGATTTTTAGTTTTGACTATTCTATTGAAAACTTCCTACTCCTTGCCACTATTTTTCAGGCTAACAACAAAGGTGTAGTTAACATATTTTAGATTTATTATAATCTCTTCTCATTAATTCTTTAAAGTCCAATGGATATTAAAAAATATTCCCTGAGCCTCCTCATTTGGATCATGGCCTGTCCTATGTTTTGAACCCATACAATTCCTTCCTTTCTGTTCGTGGCAGGTAAAGCCAGGTGTGCACAAGCAGATCCCTGGAATAACATAGACCTACAAAGCCACATAGGTAATCTAGAACTAAAGCTGCCACTGCTTGGGATTTTTCACTCCAGGGTGCACAGAAACACCCGCTGGCAGTGACAGGTATTATGTCACAGCCTGTTTTCTACCAAACAAAAGATGACAGGCAAGGCAAACTGTTTTTCAAATGACAAGTTCACGTCAAATGTGTTGCTCTAATTCTGCACCCTTTCTGCCCTTTTGCCTCCAGAAACAATTATGCAAAAGAACATATAATAGGTCAGGATCCCCCCCAAACTCAATATGATCACAGTTGTAATCCTCTGGACAACTGTCAGCTCTTGCAACAGTTGGATTCTATCTCTAGTACAACACGATCTATACGCAAGCCTTGCTGAGATGAGCCAAAGTACTGAATTACTACCAATCTTGAACACTACAGAATGAGTTAACAGGAGGAAATGTGACCAATACATATCATCATAATCAAGAAATATAAATTCCAAGAGACGCTTACAGTATTTAAGGAATTCCTTATGGATTCAACAGCATTAACTATAAATCCTAGGCTTAACCCCGCACAAGTCTTACTCATGTAAGAAGCCAATGAGACTACTTCAGTGAGTAAAAGTTTGAAGGACCAGAGCCCACGTATTTATAGAATAATTCTGCAGTTTTAAATACTATATAAGCACTTGATAAAGTTTAGTCACCGAACACATGTAACTTGTTAAAACCCACAATACATGTTTCCAAAAATCAAATATAATAACATTTCAAAATAAAAAATATGACCATTTATTTCCTGATACAGAAATTGCACTCATACATTTACATTATTTGGAGAGGGAAATAGCTAGGCCTCAGAAATGTTGTTCAATCCTTAATTTAACAGCATATTAATAATGGACACCCAACCATATTAAGATTAAACCTAAAATCTGTTAACTTTAGTGTAGTACATGGGTGGTTGGTGGTTGGCAGGGTTAGCCCCGGAAGGCCGCCACTGCGATATTTACCTACCTGGACACAGGTACAGGCAATCACAATTCCTGTTGGCTGCAGATTGCCATTCCTGACCAATGGGACTGGCGGGAACTGGTGCCAACTGGGACACTGCTTCCCACCCATTCCCATTGGCCAGGAAGAGCGATCCACTGCCAATGGAAGCTGCAATAGTTTTTTCCTATAGTCGTCCAAAAAATATAGCAGTGGGGACCCACCAGGAGCAAATACCGGCAGACCAAAACCAACCCACGGGACAGTATTTTCCCACCTCTGGTGTAGCAGAACTACATAGTTCTAAACTTACAGTAAACTTTATCAAGTTAAAAAGTGCAATAACTTAGTAGGCTTACTTTTTTTTATGAGTTTATTCAACTCTCAGGACACAAATGAGAACTCTGCAAATGGAAGAAGAAGGAAACTGTTTTCTGCCTTTCTAAGAC